CAAACAAATCTGCTTTTATAGCATTATTTAGACCCATAAAGCACAAAAATCGTCTGGCTTTGGGGGTTTCACCGACCCCGCCAGGGCTTTGACCTTGCACACCATGCCCAGAGAACACCTGAATATTATATTCACCCTTGAAATCCGGGGTCTTTTTTAATCGATATTCCTGTCAACATTGCTGAGACGCACGTTGTCTACTTTCTCTACTTCAAACTTAATGTCTCTTATCATTATTTTTTTTTGGTAACTCCTATTTAATTAAAAATCTATAGATTTTGTTGGTCAGTGTCGTAGCATCAATTGCATGTTACGACAATATTAATTGCCATTCACTTAAATGTTTAATTAGTTTAATTAAACATTTCCTCAGCAGCAGATATCATTATTATCTTTCATGGGATATGAAAATCAATGTTTATGTTACCAAGGTTTTGAAAAACAATGAACAATGTACTGACAAAGGCCTTACTTCTAAAGACAATTTTAAGAAAAATACAAATACTGTACTCTGATGTTGTTATGCTCATATCATTTCTCCCCTAATTCTGAAACAAATTTTCTGGGGCTTCCATATTTTCAAGAGTCTCAAACGTTTCCACAACATACATGAAGATTACTGTAATGTGCGAAACAAGAGAGCTTAAATTTGCAAAAACATAGTACTTCTTTACAAATAAAAAAAGGAAAATGACCCAAAGAAATAATATATGGAACACATTCGTAATGTAGTGAAAAAATGTTGTGGACATATGGCGAAACTGACTTCGAAAAGTAATGGGGCCTCTTCATCTGTATGATAATTTAGACTGGCAAAAAAACATTAATTGATACTGTAAACTACACGACATTCATAACAAGTTGAACAAATAAATTACAATTTAGCTCAGTAATATTTAGGTCTTATTTACTTTCCTGATAGAAATGGTAAAACTAAGCGATGTGTTTTCTAATACCAAAGAGATAAATTGCGGATTTCTATTGCTTAAATAATCATTCAAAAAACCAGAGGTAGCATTTTAATTCGCACGTCTTACTCATCTCAAGCTCATTACTTTCTTTTACTTCTTTCCCAAACTTCTTACTCTTTTTTTCATTTGCTGAGTGCCGATTTAGACGTATCTTTGCTCGAACCAAAGCTGTCAAATTTTCTGCATTTCACATATTTTCACGCCTCTGGGAGGCAGTTCATGTAGACGTATGTATGTAGTGGGATTTATATAACACATCATACCGAGGCCTGTATGCGCTCAAAACGTTTAGTAACAACTTTCTGCTTAGTCTTAATGTTTTTGAGCATCGACTTCGAAGAATATTTTAACACCTAATATTGAAAGTTTTCACTATTATTAATAATAATAATGATTTTAATAATAATAATAGTAATACTACTACTACTACTAATAATAATAATACTAATAATAATAATAATAATTGTAATAATAATAATAATAATAATAGTAATAATAATAATAATAATTGTTTTTGAGCACCGACTTCGAAGAATATTTTAACACATAATATTGAAAATTTTCAGTATTATTAATAATAATAATGATTTTAATAATAATAATAATACTAATAAATACTAATAATAATAATTGTAATAATAATTATAATAATAATAGTAATAATAATAGTAATAATAATAATAATAATAATAATAATAATAATTTTAATATCAATTGTTTTTGAGCATCGACTTGAAGAATATTTTAACATCTAATATTGAAAATGTTCACTATTATTAATAATAATGATTTTAATAATAATAATAAATGTAATAATAATAATAATAATAATAGTAATAATTGTTTACATAGTAATTTTTATTTCAGTTTTAAAATCCATTGAGGGTTCTTTACATTGTTTTAAATTTCAATATTACATTTTAATAATTGTAGGCCTATGTATATTATTTGCGCTTTTTATTTTTCTTGAACCTTAACTATTTTGCGCTTTTACCCTTCTGTTTTTATGTATGTTGTCTTCTGTTCTTTTTAATTTCTCATTCATATTTATATCTATATTTTAATATATTTTAATCTCGCTTTTAAGATGATTTTTAGACGTTCTTTTTACTTCATTTTAGTAACAAACTTTTAAATTTTACATACTTGTATGAATTTCATTTTGTAAGTCAGATTTAAAACAGAAAGCTGCCCGTCCGAAAAAAAGCTGACAGTGAAATTTTACTTTTGAGCAATCCTGTTGAGTTTTATGTCTTTTTTGAACCTTTTTTGTGCTTGTATTTGTTTCTTGTTTACGTAAAAGATAAAAAAGTGCATTAAAACAGATTTTTAAAAACAAGATTAGATTAAATTAATAAATGTTTTAATAATTTGTAATAATAAAGCAATCGTATATTTGTTTATTCTTTATAATAAACTTTGTTCAATCAATTATCCTAAATATTTTTTAAACAAGTTTCATTTCATGAAGTGATTATTTAAAAAGGCATCAATTCAGTCAAGCATTTAGTTTTGATACCCTTACAAAAACTAATAATAAATACATAATAAAAAAACAAATAAACAATAAGAATAAAGATTGTTAGGTTTTTTTTTTTTTTTTTTTTTTTTTTTTTTTTTTTTTTTTTTGCTTTTTGGAAGGGAAACACTGTCATATTTTGAAATAACAATATTATGCTAAATATTCAGTGACTTACAGTGGATATGCAAACTCCACTTTCTTGCGAAGCATTCTCTTTGGCAATATTTTTTCTAAATCTTTCACTGTTCGCAGAAACTGTATCGAATATGGCCTGCAGCGTCGGCGGTACAAATGGGTCCTTTTTTGACAAGTATTTTATCATGAACTCTTCTAAATCTTCTTTAGACATTTGTAAGTGAAAATCGCATAGATTCGAAGAAATGCCATGCTCACAAAAGTCCGCACCCAAGATCTCTTCTTCTTCAGAACATCTGAAAAAAAAATTGAACACAAATTACAAAATCTAAGGATTTTAGTACGTATGTAGTATAATTTATCACCAGTGGAGGTACAACTTCATACCAAAGTTACTACCGGTATCATATAAAAACTATGAGGATCTAATATGTTTTCTATTACCTAACCTGGAGAGGCCGTATAGCGTCTTAAACATTGTTATTTTCGTTTTATATAACTTTGTTATTGTTATTGTAATTGTTAATGTAGTCACTGTCATTGCCATTTACAGTTGTTATTGCTATCGATATTGTCATAATTATTTTTATTACTATTACTATTAGACATATTAAAATTAATATTACTATCAGTTATTATATAGATCAACTAATAAAATCACCTCCCACTTTCATATCTAGTAGTAGTATAGTCCTATAAATAAATGTATACAAAACTGTGTAATCAAACAGGATTCGAACCTGCGACCTCTCGCTGTCAAGGCGAGCGTCGTAACCATTAGACCACAGAGGCCTCATGGTTGAACAGATTAAAATTACCGCCAGATACACTCATTTATTTATAGGACAACATTCGTTGAGAGCTATGCTACCCAATGGATTATTATGTCCATTCGAACACTGTATTTACCTTTCTTTGATGATTTATATATGATTTAACAATGTTAACTGCTAACTTGATATATATATATATATATTTCTGTTTCATGAGGTACTTCCTCAATCATCAGGTGCTAGGCTCTGAATGAGACTGCAGAGTAACAATCATGCATGGTGGAACTGTTAATTGCTGTATAGATTATATTGTTATATAGTTTATTGGTAAACAGGTTAATTAGTATACTCATTATTATTCATAGAGGTGATTAGAAGCTCTGTATTGTATAGGCCTATGTATATTGGTACCGCAGTAGGAATTTTCTTCTATGCCTACATGCACTAATCAATTCATTCCTACGGTTAAGTGAGCTTAATTCAGGGTTACCTATAATGAAATATTTCTCGAGCAAACACAGATTACAGCGTTTACTGATATTGGAGTATGGTTTGCATGTACCTAATATTTTCCACTTAATTTCATATTTTATATATATAACAGCACGGCACTTAGCCAATACATTTGGAAACTTAAAGCCGATAATATAAAATATGAAATTAATGTGAAATTAAGTGGAAAATATTAGGTAAATGCAAACCATACTCCAATATCAGTAAACGCTGTAATCTATGTTTGCTCGAGAAATATTTCATTATATGTAACTCTGAATTAAGCTCACTTAACCGTAGGAATGAATTGATTAGTGCATGTAGGCATAGAAGAAAATTCCGACTGCGGCACCAATATACATAGGCCTATACAATACAGAGCTTCTAATCACCTCTATGAATAATAATGAGTATACTAACCTGTTTACCAATAAACTATATAACAATATAATCTATACAGCAATTAACAGTTCCACCATGCACATCTAGATGTGTATAAGAGACAGGTAAAGAACACGACAATATACTCAATTATAGCCAAAATATTTATCAAATAGGCCTTTCAGTAGGCCTAGGTTATATTATGATTACTGTATAAAGCGTCAATATCTATGATTGCGCAAAATGATTTTCCAACCTTATTTACAAAATAGCTGAACGAGTGCTTTTTTATTTCATTAAATTCAGGAATTACAATCACAAAACATTTCTTATATTTAAAAATATATATAATTAAGATCAACATTGTCAAGGCCAAATATAAAAAATTATTGTGTTGGCCACGCCCGACCGACCCAAAATATTCGAAATTGAGAGTCGGCATTTTAGTTTGTTTGTTTGTTTGTATTTTTTTTTTTTACTACATCGAAAAAAAATGTAATGAGCTAAACAGGCTGGAATAGGTCTATTCTTGCGACGGTAGGCGATGCGACAGTGTAATGCGATCATTTTGCTCTTCAATAGAGATTTAAAAATGGTATTTTTGTGTATTTTCTACTTTTTAGGCATAAACACACTATTGGTTAAAAAAGAATAAAATGAAAAAAAAACTTTTCCTACCGACCTACCAATTTTTTGGATTTTCCCAACACGTGGCCAACACAAGATTTTTTTTTTAAATTTGCATAATGCTGGCTTTAACGGCTGGTAGTTCATCATTTTACCGTTTCTAAGGTTAAATCCTTGTATCAAGTCTGGTTGGCCGAAGATCCCCACAGACAATAGGCTCCACACTGATGCGGTCCCGTGTACACCCACCACGCCAACAGGATCATCGATTTCCAGTTTTTCTGTTATGTTAGTCGTACACACAGCTAACAGTCCGCCTACCATGCCGATGATAAAGCACTCCCATGGCCTAGCAATTGCACATAATGCTGAAAACATATTGAATGGAATAAACAAATGTATAGAATTAAACATAATAAAACAGCCATTTACTGTAGGCCTATATTGAGAATCATGAATATTTTAAATAATATGCCATTATATAATAAACAAAAATGTTAACGAGAAAAAAAGATACATTAACAAAATAATAGATCATATTGATCTCTGTTATTTGCCATGCATCAAGGACTAATGTTATCTAATACGCATGCACATTAGTGTGAAGAAAGTAGATGCTTTAATCGGATTTGAATTCCCAAGAAAGCTTAAATGTCATGGCCTAGTTGGTTAAGGCGTCTGCATAGACAGCAGAAGGTCCCGGGTTCGAATCCCGGTTCGGGAACCTATTTTTTCACACTCACAAAATTCCTCTTTCCCCTTCTTTAACGTTTAAATATTATTTATATATATTTACAGCTTTATGTATATGCGTAGTAACAAATATGCATTACTCAATCTTACCTGTGCTACCAACGAGACCACCCAACACACTATTGATAAGATAACTGATATCGAACTTCCTCTTAAGGGTTACGTAGCTCAAAATCATACCTATGAGACCGCCACCAACGGACGCTGTAATCGTTGTTACCGCCGCTCTGTCAATAAGTGCAAAAATGATCATTATGCATCATAAATATTCTGTCTCCATGGCACTGAGGTTGTGCAATAGATAATAAAGGCGATTCAACAGCGGGTGGCATTTAGAATTATTCTATCCATAACGGACCTGTCAATCAAATTTAACAACTAATCAATCAGAACATGGTGAGGAATACGCGCATGTCCAACAATCAAAAGCCTATATTTACACTGATCTTATTTATATTTAAAACTTCCAACAGCAACTAGGTCCTACACAAGCTAAGTACTTATAAGATGCAACGATGCTCTCAGTATATAGTCTATATATATAGAGCATCGTTCTCTTCTGTAATTTGCTTTACAGTATATATAAAGGTTTTTTTTAAAGCTCTAAGCCGGTTTTCCACTAGGCGAATTAATTCGCACGAAAGCGTCGGTTTTATGCGCATGCACGTTCACATTTCTATCGGAGTTTTTGCGAAGCGAAAAAATGCGCAACCAATCAGAGCACTGAGGTTGTGCAATAGATAATAAAGGTGATTCAACAGCGGGTGGCATTTATAATTATTCTATCCATAACGGACCTCTCAATCAAATTTAACAACTAAACAGTCAGAACATGGTGAGGAATACGCGCATGTCCAACAATCAAAAGCCTATATTTACACTGATCTTATTTATATTTCATTTATTCATTATTCTTTATTTCAGACTTTACATCCATAGTTAAACATCGTCAACTTAACTAATAATAATATAAATACAAGGGGAAAATAAACCCCACATGATCCTTAGAAATTATGGATTAACTTAAAGAAGTTCGTTCCATCATTTTGAGAGCCTAGAACCTTCTAAAAATCCATTTACAGAACGAACTAAAGGGTTCACACAAGTAGAAAATCGCTTTAAAAAGCTAAAGATTGATTTTCTCATAAATTCTTGGAAAGATAATAAATCATTATTAACAAATAGTGCATTAGCACGACAGTATCTCGGTTGGCGTAACAGTTTTCTTAAAATATTGTTATAACATACTGTCAGTGTGTTCATAGATGAAAGCCTATACATAAACCAGAGCGTAGAACAATAAAAACTCATACAGAATGAACGAAATAATATACATTTGACTTCATCACTGCACTTGCTAAATTTTCTACAGATTACATTTCCACGTATACTCAGTGATCTAACTTGTCTTTTGATATCAAGCTCAACATTGAGGTCACAGCATATTATGTGACCAAGATATGATACGGATTCAACATATTTGAGGTTTTTGTTATTGAGATATGTTTTGGGCGTACTACAAGACTTCATACTTTTAAGGATAAACCTCATACACACTGATATCTTGTCATTGTATATAATATCATGCCCATTGGCGTAAATTTCACATAGTTGCACAAGATGCTGCAACCAGTCCATCGACGGAGCCACCAAAACCATGTCATCGGCGTAACTTAAATGATTGAATTTCATTTCAGCATATTCACATCCATATCTAGAGTTACTAAGAATAATATAAAGGTCACTCATATAGATATTATATAGGAAAGGAGACAAGACTCCACCTTGCCTCACTCCATTTGAAACTTTAAACACTCTGGAGGTATTAAGACCCCATTGGACCTGAGAACCTCTGCTTATCATACCATTCGCGTATGATCCTAACAACAAATAAAGGAACGTTTTTCTTAATCAATTTGTCAAAAAGTGACCAGTGGTTCACACGGTCAAAAGCTTTACTCGAATCTAAAAAACAAGTATAAACTGGGCTACCATGCCGTTGATAATATTCAATAATTTGTTTAAGAACAAAAACGCACGTCTCAGTGGAGTGATTGGGCTTAAAAGCAAACTGATGATAGTCAGTTTCAAGATTATCTTTTCAGAAATCGACCAGTATGAGCTCGAACAGTTTGGACAACACAGAGGCTAATGCAATTGGACGATAGTTATTTGTTGACGTGACGTCACCTAACTTATTCTTTACAATCGGAAAAAGGACAACTTCAACAAAGTCATTAACAATGTACCCATGCACAAACATAGCGTTAAAACAGAAACTTAATAAAACATTATTTTTCCACCAGCATACTTAAGATGTTCGCTATCGATGCCATCTAAGCCAGGCGATTTTCCTAAAGACAACTTTGAGATAAAATTCTGGATAATTTGAGGAGTTATATGATAATCCTTATAATGATCATTTATGTAATTTAGCTTATCGTTAACATGCTGCTGTTGATGTGACACAGTTGAACAGATGCTCATAATGGTCGACCAGATATTACATATGTTAACATTGCCCCTGTGACTCCATTAATTACTTCAGAGGTGTATGATTTATGCGCATTAGTACGTTTAACGGATTCCCAAAATTTATCATACTTTTTATCGTTTAGAGAGTTTGCCATAGAATCTGCTCGAAATTGTTCTTCATTTGACTTGCAAAGCCTCGACGCTAATTTAAATCTAGACCTTGTATTTTTCATACATTCAAAAAGTGGACCAAATCTTGGTTTACCATTGGTTCTCCATAGCAGAAAAGCATCCCTTGCAATATGATGCAAGTCCGCAACATGCTCGTTCCATCCCGGAACAATATTAACGTTGCTACCCTTGGCCTTAGAATGGAAACACTCGTTTGAGGCATCCTTTAAACAATTAATAATTTCATGATATAATTGATCAATTGCATTTAAATGGTTAGGATTTTTACAATTAAAATCGCTGCAAGAAACCATACTGTGGCAAATACATACATTGGATAACATTTCATCGGTAGTAGACGTGTAATTATTTAATGAATTCCTGTTTACTTTATTCCAATTAACCGAAAAATTAATATCTTCATTATTTAAGCTATTTACAGGAACGTTCTTTGCTCTGCCTCTGAGATTAGGAATTTCATAATTGAAGTGCATAGGAAAGTGATCAGAACTCAATGAGTTATAATCAATATTAAAATTACTAAGGCAAACATGCGCACCATGAGATGAGACGACATGGTCTAACCAGCTTGTGGTTCCATGTGCCTCGCTAAAGAACGTAAAGTTGTCAGACAATTCGGAAATGTCACTGAAAAACTCAACATCGGATATGTGTAAGCTACAATCCGTTGTAAAATTCAATAATTCCCTACCAAATTTCTTATTTAAGTCAGAGTTAAAGTCTCCAACTATAACGACTTTGTGTCCATTAAAGTCATCGATTAAGGACTTAATTTTACCAAGATAGTCGATGTACTCATTTAAGTTATCATCTTTATCATATGGTAAGTAAACGTTTATCAACATAGTACAGTCGTCACCTTCACCTATTTGCATACCCACAAGCCTTTTAAAACTTCCAACAGCAACTAGGTCCTACACAGGCTAAGTACTTATATGATGCAACGATACTCTCAGTATATAGTCTATATATAGAGCATCGTTCTCTTCTGAAATTTGCTTTACAGTATATGTAAAGTTTTTTTGGTTTTTTTTAAAGCTTTAAGCCGGTTTTCCTCTAGGCGAATTTATTCGCGCGAATCTAAAGCGTCGGTTTATGCGCATGCGCGTTCACATTTCTATCGGAGTTTTTGCGAAGCGAAAAAAATGCGCAACCAATCAAAGCTCAGGAAGCGAACCTACGCTTTGATTCTCGCGAATAAATTCGCCTAGTGGAAAACCAGCTTTTTTTTTAAATATCCGTAATAAGATTTGAATTAAGATTGGGATTTTAACCTTTAAGCTATAGCTTAACACATTTTAAATTAATGTACGTTTGGTAAAAATGCGTTTATCTATTATCTCTAAAGCAATAAATACGAAGAATGACTAAATGTCTCGTTATTTTCATATTTTTACACAGCTTGAATGCTGACCTTCAGTATTAAAGATCGATTGATTACTCGCTTAAGAAATGATGTAGGCCTAATCATCATTAAATTACTACAGCAACAGTGCAGGAACGTACAAGGACATAAAGTGAAGCACCTATATTGACATTGGCACCGAAAGCATCCATTCTGCTTGGAAATATGAACAGCCTGATTAAACAATAGATACTCTCCGTTAAAATATTCTTATAAACACGTTCTCGTTTAGCTCATATAATCGATTTAAGCAAAAGTCATTTTGTGGATGTATTGATGATTTACGTTATAATTACTTACAATTTGGCGTGCAAAACAATTTTCTTTTGTAGAAACATAAAGACGAAATTCATAAGGTAATTGCCAACTAAATAAAGTTGCCAACGTTACTACTGACATATTCTAACCTCAACTTTCACAACATTCGCGAATGTAACGTTTTGTGTCTGCTGCATAATAATTTACTATGCCAGACATGATTAACTATGGAAATTTAAAAGATACACCGTAAGTCGTAATTTTGAAAAGCTCATTTGAAATTATCAAATGAGTTAATTCAACACATACAATGTACTTTTGTAAAGTATTGACCGCGGGCACGAGAGCAAAGTGGGCGTTGTCGAGCGTCGCTTAAAATGTTTCGAGAGTAGTCCAGGGGACGAAGCCCCCGAAAATATTGACAATTTAAGGGTTTCAAAGGCTTATTTAATCGATTTTATGGTCTACTAATATGTACAAGTTACACATAATTTTCTTTCTCCCCGACGAATTGTGCTTTTACTCCCCACTCTCCGCTGCCGCCACCCTGATTCGTATTCGTTATCGTTTTCTTAATGTTGTGAATCTCCCTAGTGTTTCCTTTAACCAAATATTTTCGTAGTAAATCTGCATATTGTTTTAATGCGTGACTCATCAAAGTGTTGATAAAAAGTAATTGACAGTAAATGAACAATTAATTGTTGAATTTAATTGAGAATATGTGAATTACCTTGCGGCTAACATCCACTTCCCGTTGCTAATTCCAAAAGTGCTGCCGCAGTTGAATCCAAGCCAGCCCCACCATAGCATAAACATACCTAGCAGAGCATTTGTTGGGTTGTTCATCTCGGGCGGACCTCTGCGGCCGCTAAAACGTTTTCTTCTCGGCTTCATCATTATGGTTGCTACAAGGCCAGTGATGCCTCCGACCAGATGTACTACGCCTAATTTGTAAAAGTTTGATGGATTATACAAAAACTTAATGCGGAAAAAACTATAGAGATGTATCAGAATGCACACTGACTTTCAAAAAGGTGTGGGGAGAATGGGTTGCGGTTGGAAAAATATTAAAACTATTATGACGCTTTCAGAAGCATCGAACCCAGGACTTTCAGCTATATATATATACTGTCTCTTATACACATCTAGATGTGTATAAGAGACAGATTATAACTGACTATGTATCATAAGTATCTTCTTACACAATCTTTACTTGATTAATTGCATCATTAAAAAAATACCTTATACACTTACTAATCGGACCCAATTGTTTTTATTAGATAGAGAAAAGTGGCTGGAAAATGTGAGTAAACGCCAGGAATATGAGAATCCACTATTGACAAAACTAGAAGAAATTCTGATTCAGGAATTTAAATTAAAAGCTGATTCACACGCCATTATTTTCTGCACAAAACGCTTCACTGTTGATGCTATGTGTAGTTGGATAAGAGACAACCAACAATTGTCATTTCTTAGACCAGAAATGATTTTTGGATCAGGTGGTGAGTTACACAAAAATATTCAGCACTTTTAACGATTATTGTAGCTACAGTAAATTTAAATAAGTATACAAAATTGTTTTCGGTTGCCATTAATATTTTTGATATAGGCCAAATGGCTATAAATATTTCTGATGGTTTAAATAATTATTATTATGATTATCATCAATGTTATCTTTATTATAGTATTTAATTTAATTGCCATAGCATTATTTATTTATTTATTCATCCATTCATTCATTTTGATCACAAAAGATTTTGTATATAAGACGCTACCGAGAATATCATATGCAATCTTAGTTTTAAAAAAAGTCATGGTGAGGTGTGCTTTTCTAAATTTTCTAACACCTTAATACTACAATTTAACATACATCAGTAAAGATTAAATATAACAAGAATAAATATTATAAAATGAATTAATATAGCCTAACTGTCAATAAATATAACAATATAAAAGTAACATAACGTCAGGCTATAGATTACAATGGTATCAATGTATTACTGTATTCGTCGAACTTCATAAATGTAGTGATGTTTTGCAGAAATGACTTCTTCTGAGCAACAAGCGGTTCTTCACAATTTTAAGAGTGACACTTGCAACATACTTGTTGGAACAAGTGTTGTAGAAGAGGGTACAGATGTATCAGCATGCAACTTGGTTTTTCGCTACAATTACATGAGTAGCGAGGTTGGTCGTAAGCAAGCCAAAGGTATAACATCCAATAAAGTTCACCTAAGTAATACTTTTATTGTTGTTGTTATGAATCATATTAGGTATATCCCGTGCAATTAAGTCAATCATAGTATACTGACATATAACTAGGCCCTATAAATTTTTATTTTATTTTTTATTTTCTAATTTACTTTACTTTTCTAATTTTTTTCAGGGAGGGTTCGCCAAAAGAACAGCAAATTCTACTTTGTCGCTTCAACTGAGTTTGACTTTGATAAACGTGATTACGCAAACAGAATTCGTGATATGTACATGTTCAAGAGCTGTCTCTTATACACATCTATGATAGTCTTATACAGTTTTTCCAAAGTAATAATCATTATAATGTATTGAGTAGCTTTAATTAATTAGTTTACCTATTATTCTATTATTCATATCATTCATTTATAACTTTTAAATGTAAATTTATTTTATTAAATTTAACTATTTATTTATAAAAAAAATAATATCTTGTATTAACGAAAAATTGGTATTGCCCATTGATCTGTGTTCTCAATTTTAATAATTTTTTTAAATTTTAAGTTTTTTCTTTTTTGTTACTATCTTGTGAACGCACATATCTTTATTGAATTCCATCGATTTAAAGGTGTATTTTCAAATAAATAATATTTGTAGGCCTAATTATTATTCAAATAATTATAATTATTTATATTTAACAAAGTATCCTCCATCCGGCATCTTTTATATATAAGAGTTGGTTTTCTGCA